GTAAAACAGCAATTATGCTGAGTCAGGCTCGATTTTTAGTAATCTTTTCCTGTTAAATCAATAAATCAAATCAATCCTTATCTTATTCACAATTGTAATAAAAAAATATTCCTACAGGCAGAAATACATGAATAAAGCAAAGTGAACTTGCGTGGCTTGGTCTCAAATGATTTAATAATTGCATATGCAAGAAAAGGTTTGGGCAGCAACGCAGAGGTCCGAATCAGAGGAGCCTCCACGGAGCTACTGACTTAGCAACAGACAGGAAATACATTTATAACTCCCAGGCGTGGTGTCCATGAACAAATAACAGCCCAACACAATTGGAGAAAAATATCAAACACCAATAGAAGAATTACAAGTTTACACAGGCAACATGAAATGAGAACAAGGTTGCAGACATCAGGGGATTGTGAGAACAGATTATACAATGTGGCAGTWATCAATGAGAGATACAGAACAGAACATGTCAAGGTAACTTAACACTTAGGGACGTTAYATAATACTTCCACCACACTCCCTCCTCTTGATTTGTCACTAATCAATTAAAATARGGAAGAAACTATTATATAACACAAGCAACCATAAACTGCATCAACACCAGWGTAAAAGGAACAAGTGCAATGTAAAAACAGTGCAAACWGACTTAATAAGTCAAACATGTCAAAATTTAAAAAACTTAAGAGACCAAATTCAAAGTATCACAACAATTTTTGCCCCCAGCAAATTTGATTACATGAGCCGCTTATGTTCCATCAAAGTCTTATCTTGGATAAAGTGTTAACTTAATAACAACCAATTGTCAATAAATGAACCTTAAGTAATGCAAATTAGGACAAGTTGAAGAAATGCTGAAGGCATTTACTCCCAGAACAATAGCTTGAATAAATCTAACCAGCAAATGATAAATGAAGACCACAAAACTTTATGAATAAATGAAGAAATGTCATTAAAGTGTGTTACATAATTACAAATCTAAACCTAAAATCAAAAAATAATAATGAAGATGTCTGTTTTACAAAAAAGAGAGCAACATAAAGTGTTTTTAACTGGCTGTAAATGCCCACTAAGATAAGGACAAGAACACACACATCTGTTTCTGACACACTCAGGTTAAAAGAGGATTTACAAAATCACACAAATCTCTGATTTCTAAAATTAGTTCACAAATACACAACAAAGTTTATGGTTTTGGAGGAAAAACAAAAAGGTAATCATTTTACTGAAGCAAAGAAAAATTGTTATATCTGTTATTTTGTTATGTTTTACTATACTAATTGTTAATCATCAATCTGTTCAAGAGAATTATACACACACACAC